TAAAACAAAAAAATTACCTATAATGGATACAACGCACCTGTCTTAGGCATAACACACCTGTAAAACACCTGTCATACTTATCACCATGACGTCACGGGGCTCTGGATGTGGACGGAGGTATTCTCGCCTCTACACGTGAGAGGGATAAGGGTTATAATGGCATGTAGAGGAAGCCTGGCAAGTGTCACCTGTGTTTGTTTATGTGTGTGTGTGTGTGTGTGTGTGTGTGTGTGTGTGTGTGTGTGTGTGTGTGTGTGTGTGTGTGTGTCCGGGACAAAGCCAGATATGTGCTAGACACGTGCGCTCACTAGACCCTTAGAAGGTCAGTTGTAAGGCAGCTACATCTGTCAGGCGGGTTTGGCGAGTCCCAGGTATGTGCAAGTGTTTAAGGAAGTCAGTTGTGAGAGAGAGAGAGAGAGCGCAAACCTAACCTAACCTAACCAAACCTAACCCACACGTACCCTAACTTCACCACAAAAAAAAAAATTAATTAAATCATGTGTAAAAAAAATTAATTAAAAATTCCTCTCCCTATCCGCACACTGTCACCGGATTCTCTTAACTTTAATACAACTCGACAAGAAGTAAGTCATTAGCTAACAAACCGTAATTACCTAACTATAGATAATTGCAAAACCCTTAATTACCGAACGATTTGTCCCTAATTAGGTGTTTATCGTGTATGGTGCATCGTTAACTCACCACACACATGTTAATCAGTGTTCACGACTACACACCTGTCCAACACCATCCACCACTACACACCTGGACACCCTACACCTGCACGAGTAATTAAGTGCCACCCCCACATGGCACTAACAAATAAATGTACAACAGAACCCCGGAAGGAAGAGGATCAGTACCACCTCTCTGGTCGGGAATGGTGCCACTACGATGTGGAATAGGTGCCATGGCGGACAGTCAGTATGGAAAGGGGGAAGGTAGATTATGGGAGAGGTGCCATGGTAGTTAGTATGGAAAGGGGGAGGCAAGGTCATGGAAGAGGTGCCATGGTGAACAGTCACTATGGAAAAGAGAGCCAAGGTCATGGAAGAGGTGCCATGGTGGACAGTCACTATGGAAAAGAGATGTGGTGGAAAAGTTCAATTCATGGAAAGGGTAAGCCAGTTCTGGAGGGGGGGAGGGAGAAGTGCCGGAAAAGTGCAATAATGAGATGGAACAGGGAGGAATGGTGCCAGACAGAGGTAAACCATTTACAGAGGGAGCCAGACACGGGGTAATGGTAAGAGTGCCACGTTGGGTAAGGACAAAACGGAGTGGATGCCGACGAGGTGGCACTGTGTAATAATAAAAGGGTACCAGTGCCACCTATCCCTTCCCACCAACAGTGCCACCTAGCCCTTCCCACCAACTGTGCCACCTAGCCCTTCCCACCAACAGTGCCACCTAGCCCTTCCCACCAACTGTGCCACCTAGCCCTTCCCACCAACAGTGCCACCTAGCCCTTCCCACCAGCAATTGCCACTAGCCCTACCTTCACCAACAGTGCCACCTAGCCCTTCCCACCAACAATTGCCCACTATTGCTTCCACCAACAGTGCCACCTAGCCCTTCCCACCAACAGTGCCACTAGCCTTCCACCAACAGCCACTAGCCCTTCCACCAACAGTGCCACCTACCTGTGCCACCTAGCCCTCCCACCAACAGTGCCATCTAGCCCTCGCCTACCAGTGCCATAACCAGGAAGTGCCAGCGCCCTAACATGCGTCAGTCAAGCTGTCCAGTGACCACAGCCAATAGCTAGTTCCATCCTTCCTCACTCGTCCCATCCACACTATCCACACGCCCATCCACGCAACCCACACACCTCATCCCATCCATACTATCCACACGCCTCATCCCATCCACACTATCCACACACCTCATCCCATCCACACACCTCGATCCATCCACACTATCCACACACCTCATCCCATCCACACTACCCCCTTCACTAGAAAAAAAAATCCCATAACGTAAAAATAAAATTCCCCTCGACGGAAAAATTTGTTTAAAGAAAAAAATAAAAGTCGTCCTATTAGGGGAAGAAGACGAATTGGAGGTGTACTATAGGTGGTTCCCGGTGCTGCCTGACGAAGCATAACCTGACGAAGGGAATCCAATTACTGAAGGGACCAACCATGTGAAAATGACGATGGGTTCTGCTCCTCCTGACTGACTGGTTCAAGCTAGTGGTGGTTCTATTAGGTGGTTCTATTGATGCTATTAGCTAGGTGGCTAGTTAGTTCTATTAAGTGTTTCTGATGTAAATAGATGACTAATTGGTTCTACCGGACTGTATACCAATTAATACCTACCCTCCCGATTAGTGAAGGTATATAAATCAATAGCTAGTATATATACCTAAGAATATATACCAGTTAACACCGTACCGTCTATATACCTGAGAATATACCGAGTGGAGAAGAAAATTAACCCAATATTCTTAGTTTGAAGGAAAGTTTAGAAGAACAAAAAATAAAGATATATTTTCCCCATTTACCAGTACAGTGACCACCCACTAAAGACCCAATTAAGAGCCAATGAAGCCTCCTTACCTGTTGTTATGGTTGAGAGAATGAGGGGGGAGGTGAGGGGGGGGTGAGGAGGGAGGTGAGAGAGAAGGAAGAGATATGTGTTGTGTAAACATGTGTGGTACGTATTACTAGGGGGAGGGGGAGGAGGGGGGAGGGGGGAGGGGGAGACGCCACACGCTACATTGGGCTTCACTTGGCGACCGACACACACACCTGACCTCACCTGGGCTAACTTGACCTGATTAAACGTAACAACTTAACTGATTTAACGTAATAACTCGACTTAACTTAACGTCGTTTAACCTGACCTACCTTAAGCTGGGATGATTTAACCTGACTCAATCTAACACCTTGTCCTGATTTAGCGAAATAACTTACCCTGATTTAACCTAACCTCCCCCTTCTCTCCTTAACCCCCCCCCTCCCTCCCCTTAACCACCACTACACACCCCCTCTCACCTCCTCCACCCATCATCTCCCCCCTCTCCTCAACATCCCCCTACACCCCTCCAACACCCCTCACACAGGTAACCAGGCCAGGGTGTTGTCAGCCAACCTTGCCACAGTGCCTCCACCCGCGAGATGTCAAGTCAGACGAGGGGCGTGACGTCATCTCCACAGCAACAACCTTCTGCAAAATGTCAACCTGGATCTTCATGAGACGACGAAGGGGTATGGTATAACCCCCCACCATCCTCCTGACGTGTGTAGCGCCGTATCACCACACCTCGTCGCCCCCAGTACAGGAGAGAGAGAGAGAGGTTGGCTCCTTTCATCCTCTGAGCCGTGGCCACCAGCCTCCACAGACCTGGAATTTGGCTCCTGTCATGTTGTTAAAGGAAGAGGCTGGGGGGAGGGGGGCTGGGGGAGGGGGGGAGGGGGCTGAGCTGGGGGGTGGGGCTGCTTAGTCCTCTGGTAGTTTGTGAACGCTTGGTGAAGGGGAAGGAGAACTGGGGAGAGGGGAGAAGGGTGGAGGAGGAAGAAGGGGTGGAGAGAGGGGGGGCAGTGGAGGGGGGGGCGGTGGAGGGAGGGGGGTGGAGGGGGGCAGTGGAGGGGGAGAGTGGAGGGGAGGGCAGAGAGGTGGTGGAGGAGAAGGGGGGCAGTAGAGGAGTCGGTGGAGTGAGGGAAGGAGCGAGGGACAAGGGAGTGAGAGATGGGAGGAAAGAGGTAAAAACAGACAGACAGACAAGGGCGATGGCTGCGTGACTCCGCCTGGGTGGAGCGGCCATAAACCACGAAAGCGACGGAAGAACGACGCAAAAATACACTTTATGACATGAGCAAGACGCAAAAACACTGACAGACGGAGACAGGTAGACAGACGGACGGACAGACAAAGTGTATAAGAACAACGAGAGAGTATAAACCCACAATGAGAGGGTGGGGTGGTTGCAGGGGGGGTGCGTGGGGGGGTAATGCAAGGGAGGGTGAAGGATGAGGTAAGGAAGGAGGGTTAGAAGGACGTAAGGAGGGAAGGAGAAAGCCAGAAGTGATGAGAGAGGAGGAGGAGGGAGGCAAGGAAGGAGACAGGTGAGATGGGAACCAGGTAATGAATTCTGGTGTCGTTCAGGTGTGCTTCAGGGACCAGGTAAGGTGATCACGCTATATTAATCACCACGAGCGATGCATGATACGGGCAAGACGAGGAGGAGAGGGGAGGAAGAGGAGGTAAGAGGAGACGAAGAGGAGGAGGAAGAAAAGGAGAAGAAGAGGAGGAAAGGGAAGATAATGATGAAGGAAGGAAAGAAGAAGGAGGAGAACACGAAGAAGAGAGAAGAGCAAGGCAGACGAAGAAGAATGAGGGAAACGCAGAGAAGGTTAAGAAGAAGAAGCAGAGGGAGAAGACAAAAGGGGAGGAACAATCAGAAAGGGGAAATAGAAGAGAAGGGAAGAAATAGGACAGAAGGGGAAGATGTAGCCAAGGAAACGAGATGAGGTGGGAGACGATAAAGAAAGGAAGAGATAACGAAAGAGAATAATGATGATCTTTATTATTATTGTCCCTCTTATCCTTATTCTATGAACAGTGCCACACCTATAGACCAGTGCCACACCTATACACCAGTGCCACACCTGAGCCAGAGTGCGACCTATATCCACAACAATGCCAGGGAGCAGACCAGAGCCACACACACACACACACACACACACACACACACACACGACAGCTGTGATCTGTGAACCATCAGTAATGAATGTCGTATGGAGGAGGAGGAGGAGGAGGAGGAGGAGGAGGAGGAGGAGGAGGACACGCTGTTATTCACGATGGTAACCTAATGAGGACGACTCCCAGACGCCATCACCAGATAAGCTTGGGGCGATGGAGAGAGGAGGAGAGGAGGAAGAGAAAAAGAGGGTGACAGCAGCAGCGATGAGAACAGCGGCTGCGTCAGTGGTAGAGGTGATAGTAGTGGTGGTTATAGTCAGGTATATAAACACAGGTAGATAAACACAGCATCCTACTCACATAACTCTTTGATGAACTGAAGGACACGTGGCCGAGTACTTACCTGAAATAAAGAGAAAAATAAATTAGTAAATTGAGTTGGATTATAACACACACAGGCAGTAAACACAAATACTCCCCCTCACCTTCCCTCTACCCTCACATTCCCTCTACCCTCACTTTCCCTGCCTTTCACCTTCCCTCTACCCTCACCTTCCCTCTACCCTCACTTTCTCCTCCCCTCACCCCCTTCAGTGCCACACCCATACTGGCAAGGGTCCAGGATGGGGGGCCATATAAACCTGGCACCACGCGACGATGCCAAACCTTTGATTGATCCAATGACAGCGTCCACTGGCACCCTCACCATGCCTCGTGCCCCCGTATGAGCCTGGCCAACGAGAGAGAGTGAGGCACCATTACCGGCACTTGCCCTCATAGATATTCTCAATCCTGGCACTATTACAGAGACCATCCACCATCTACATTGGCTCAAACAGATACAGTGGCACTCATACAGACAATCTCCCCCAATAGTGGCACCCATATAGACAATCCTCCCTAAATAGTGGCACTAACACAGACAATACCCCATTCATATTGGCACTAACAGACACAATCTATCCTCTACATTGGCACTACAACGAAACCATCCCCGTAACACTGTACCGGCACTCTTACAGATTATCTATCCTCATACCAGTACTATCCCAACACACACACACACACACACACACACACACACACACCCCTGGCACTCTGACAGGGGACATCACATCTCTCTCTCTCCTCCTTCTGGGTTGTCAATATTGGCACTATTACTACTCACTCACCCACTCCAACGGTTGGCACTGATACGGTTAGATCCTCCTCCCCCCACCCCCTCCCCCTAGTCACCCCTACCCTAACCCCCTCTCCCCAATCCAGATATGGGGAAAAATTTAACTTACGATCCTTTGAAAATCCTGACCAAGATACGTACGATTTTATAGTTATATTTACGAGGAAAAATACACCGTAATGCAGAGTAAGAATCCACGCCAAGACCACCACCAAATCCACACCCTCACCCAGATCCTCATCCTCATCCACACACCCATACCCTCACACCCACACACCCCTACCTACGCCCACTGCCCTACCCTGAGGCGGCGTCGTAGCTCCACCTCTCGCCGCCCTCTGTAATTAACTACCAATTTATGCATTGTTTCCCACCAATTAGTCTGATAATAACTTGGCCGGGGGGAGGGGGAGAGGGGAAGAGGGGAGGGGGAGAGGAAGGGGGATCTTGTGACTCCATTGACCACCTGACTCTCTCTACCATGACGCATGACCTCGTGACCTCTACCATGACCTCCTGTACCATGACCTCGTGACCTGTACCATTCTACACCTCTCTTTTCCCTCTCCACTACCACCCATCACTACCCACCACCCCACCTCACACCATGAAGACAGCCCGCCCTCCCTCCCTCCATCGTGTTAAAATATGCAACCATGGTAATAATAACAACGCCCCGTCCCGTCCCGCCCCGGCCCGGCCCGCCCCGCCCCGCCCCGCCCCGCCCCGCCCCGTCCCTCCCCCAACACTATCATCGCCACACTAACACGACAGGTAAACGATGTCTCCCTCTTATCTCCTCCCTTATCAGCCAGGCTTAATACGACCTGTCGCTATCTGATGCACGATACTATACTCCCTGCTGTCTCCTGTCACGGGATGGGCGATTGATACTACCCCACCCCTCTCCCCTCGCCTTTTCCGTACGATCTCTCTCTCTCTCTCTCTCTCTCTCTCTCTCTCTCTCTCTCTTTGGTATAGGAATCTACCCTCCCTTCTTCGTTATTTGTCATGGACTGGGTGATAATGCCTCTTCCATCCTACCTACCTATACCTACCCCTCTCACACTGTCTCTGTTCTGTCACAGGATATGATCGTGTCTGTCGAGTGCCACTACCAAGTGAGGACTAACAGTAACAGTGCCAATACCAAAGTGAAGACAGCATCAGTAATAGTGCCATCACCTACCACAACATACAGTGCCTATGGATTAAAGAATATTATGACCTGTTAATTCAACAAGACACCTATTGAAGGAACGATTACTACCACAACAATAACACCACCAACACCACCACCACCACCACCAACAACACCACCACCAACAACAACACCACCAACAACAACACCACCACCAACACCATCGCCACCAACAACACCGCCGCCAACAACAACAACCAACACCACCACCAACAACACCACCACCAACAACACCACACACCACCAACACACAACAACACCAGCACCACCACCAACAACACCAACACCACCACCACCACACCACACCACACACCACCACCACACAACAACACCAACACCAACAACAACACCACCACCACCAACAACACCAACACCACCACCAACAACAACACCACCACCACCAACACCACCACACCAACACCACCAGCACAACACCACCACCACCACCAACAACAACAACACCACCACCACCAACACCACACCACCACCAACAACACCACCACCAACACCATCGCCACCAACAACACCGCCGCCAACAACAACAACCAACACATTATTTTCAGTACAGAACAGAATCCACCATAATTGCCATTACCAAAGAAAGAGTCACGTGTAGTGATGGAAATTGGCCAGGAAGGGGGAGAGAGGGGGAGGGGGTATTAATGGAACATGACAGGGTGACCAGGGAGAAGAGTGAAAGGGTGAAACACTAGCCCCCGTCACCCTCTCCTCCCTGACACACTAAATTCACACTGTACGTATCTGTGGCCGTGCTGGTCCATCTTTAAATTGTGGTCTAGTCAAGTGTGTGTGTGTGTGTGTGTGTGTGTGTGTGTGTGTGTGTGTGTGTGTGCATACCTGTGCGTGTGTGGATTTAATGAGGCAGAAGTTTCATGTTTTTATGTTTTTTTTGTTTTTTTGTTTTTTACCCTTAGAGGACGAAATGGTTAAACCATCGTCCTCAACGCTGTAAACCTAAACCATCCTCCTCCTCCTCCTCCTCAGCAGAAATCGAAGCTGGACCGCAGGCGCACTAGATGGTAAAAAGTTCACCCCTGTTTACACGACCAGAGCGGCGGCCACGACAGCACGATATACCATTATACACGCCGACACGAAGCTGGAAAAAGTATACCACTGTCTTATACCGGAGATATACCCTGTGCTGTATATACCTGGAATAATCTAAAATCATTATCGGTGAGAGTATATACGGTATATTTTTGTTCTTTCATTTTCTGGGGCAACTTATGATTCAGCGCCCAAACCCCGTCAGCATATTTCAACTGAAGATTAACCACCCTAACGCTAACCTAACCTAACCTAACCTAGCCACCCTAACGCTAACCTAACCTAATCTAACCACCCTAACGCTAACCTAGCCTTAAAGTAACATGACTTACCTAACCTAACCTAACACCATACACCCTCACAACCTTACACTTACAGAATTTCCAGTTGATCCTCCTGACGGCAGCAGAGAGCCAGTCGAAGTGGCAGCCGGCGACGAAGCAGCAGGGGTCGTGAGCGCAGCCACACGTCACTCGGCGGCCGTTCACACTGTGGCCGTGGATGTTCTTGGTGACGTGGGGTGTCTTAGAGCTGCAGCGAGGAGAGCCTATGCTGGCGTGGGCTTCAGGAGCCTCAAGAACCCGTAGTAATATCTGGGCTTCAGAACTCAAGGGCTCCTGTAAGATCCTGGGCGTGAAAACTGGAACACTCGTGGGTTCCTGTGAGTTCCTTGTGTCGGCTTGGCGAACTGTGGGTCTCTCCGTGGTAGCGGACGTGTGGCGGCGGGAGCAACAAGAGTCCGCCGAACTAAAAGACGTGTGCTGGGGGAGAGGACTCTTGGAATCTGGGGAGCTGCTGGTGACGTAGCCGTGGTCTTGGGGGCTCTGGGGAACTTTTGATATCCTGGGGGTGTTGGTGTGGGAGGCCATGGGACCCTGTGAACTCCTAGGGGTGCGGGTCTCGGGACTTTGGGACTCGGCGTGACCTGTCTCTTCTAGGGACTCATAAAGACCCACGTGACTTCGAAGCTCTGTGTAACCCCGGGGGTCGTCTCTGAGCTGTGTACGTCTCCGGGGTTCTACCGGCTCTCCAAGACCCCGAGAACCTTTACTGTCCCCCTGAGGTTCCGTGGGGCTGGTGGTGAGGTCCTGTAGGAGTCTTGGATCTGTCTGACTCCAGGATTCTCTTTTGCTTACGTGACCTCGAGAGCTGTATCCCGGGAGCTGTGTGTGACCCCATGAATTCGAGAGGCCCGTTTGACCCAAGATCTCTGTGCGACCTAGTGTGTGACCTCTGATGGAGTGTTGGGGGAAGTTGGACGTTCTGAGGTCTTGATGTGACGAGCTTTGGACGGTGGTGGACGGGTGTGATTGGCCAGTTATTAGTCTTCGGGGATAGTTATTTGGGTGATTATTCTGAGGAGGTGATACTGTAAGGTGAGGCAGCAGTGTGTCTCTACCTGACATCATGGGAGGGTTTTGAGGAGCGAGGAGAGAGTTCCTTCTTAACACCCATCGGCCGTTGTTAGAGGCGCCTTGCTCCTGAGGTGAGGAGCCGAAGGGGTGACGTGAGTGCCAATTGGAGTTCCTAGACGCGTTGTTGGGGTAGTAGATGTGGTCGGACTGCAATGACCTCTGAGGAAGTGGTCCGGTCTCCTGTCGAGGTAACGCAGCCATAAGCAACGACACTTCTCGTGGGACACCATAGACACGAGATGCACGACTGTCGGGGCGGCGGTAGAGGAAGATGGAGTCACTATTTCTCTGTGTGCCCCTCTGGCTGTAGTAACTCTCCCGGGGACGGATATAAACCTGCTGACCTGAAGTTCTGTCCTGACGACGACCAACACCTGTGATATATTCGCGGCTCGTGTAGTTTTCATTGCCGGTTTGACCCTGAAGGCGACCTTGAAGGAGACGCCCCGGGTCATACACACGACTCTCCCCCTCACGAAGCACCTCCTGTTGACCTCGCTGATACACCCCACTCCGTACCTGGTCGTAGTCCCTATGACCTGTAGGGCTGTCGGTGTTACTACGAGGGACGACGCGGCTGTAGCTTTGATTGTCATTCAGTGAGCTCAGGCTGCTTCCCAGGCTATAGAGACGACCCTGGGTAGATCCTCGTAGTAACACACCGCCACCAGGAGGAGGCACATCGCCCGGCCGCCTGATAAAGAAGTCTTGTTCACGGGGGTCTGTTCTCCTTCCACTGTACCCATGAATGTTGCTGTTGAGTGTGCCGCTATCACTGGCACTACTCCCATAATAACTGGCACCATTCCTATAACTACCACTGGCACCATTCCTATAATAACTACCACTGGCACCATTCCTATAATAACTACCACTGGCACCATTCCCATAATAACTACCACTAGCACCACTCTCATAGTAAATACCACCACGACCACCATTGGCACCACCCTCATAGTAACTACCAGTGCCACTTGGACCACTATTGACGTAATATCTGCCACGGTCGGGAACAATGAAGTTGCGACTCCTGTTATAACTACTGGCAGCGTAACGATCATTATAACTAAGAGTGTTGCTGGTGGTGGTGCCTGTGTGTGGTTCATTATCAACACGGCCACGTTGTTGGGCATCATTTTCAGTCTCCCTCTCTTGAGTATCGTCCTCAGTGTGGCTTTGTTGGGCACCACCCTCAGTGTGGCTCTGTTGGGCACCACCCTCAGTGTGGCTCTGTTGGGCACCACCCTCAGTGTGGCTCTGTTGGGCATCATCCTCAGTGTGGCTCTGTTGGGCATCATCCTCAGTGTGGCTCTGTTGGGCATCATCCTCAGTGTGGCTCTGTTGGGCATCATCCTCAGTGTGGCTCTGTTGGGCATCATCCTCAGTGTGGCTCTGTTGGGCATCATCCTCAGTGTGGCTCTGTTGGGCATCATCCTCAGTGTGGCCTGTGTGGGCATGCATCCTCAGTGTGGCACCACCTCAGTGTGGCTCTGTTGGGCATCATCCTCAGTGTGGCTCTGTTGGGCACCACCCTCAGTGTGGCTCTGTTGGGCACCACCCTCAGTGTGGCTCTGTTGGGCACCACCCTCAGTGTGGCTCTGTTGGGCACCACCCTCAGTGTGGCTCTGTTGGGCATCATCCTCAGTGTGGCTCTGTTGGGCATCATCCTCAGTGTGGCTCTGTTGGGCATCATCCTCAGTGTGGCTCTGTTGGGCACCACCCTCAGTGTGGCTCTGTTGGGCATCATCCTCAGTGTGGCTCTGTTGGGCATCATCCTCAGTGTGGCTCTGTTGGGCATCATCCTCAGTGTGGCTCTGTTGGGCATCATCCTCAGTGTGGCTCTGTTGGGCATCAGCCTGAACTGTCACCTGTTGGGCATTATCTTCAATACTCTTCTGTTGGGCTTCATCCTGACTGTGGCTCCCAGGGTGGAGAGTGTCAGCTCCAACACGCCCATGCAGTGGCTCCCTGGGGCTGCTCATGACAGGTGAGGCCGCGCCACACTGGCCTCCTCACCTCTCACCTACAGTTCCCCATCTCATTCTTACTCACTCGTTTATTAATTTTGAACCTGTAAACACCTTGTTGCTAATGTTTTCATAATGTTTCATCCTGTGACTAATGTTTTCATAATGATTCGTCCTGTAAACAACTTATCGTCACTAATATTCTCATAATGTTTCGTCCTCTAACAATTTTTTTCAATATTTCGTAAAGTAACACCAGATTTTAACTCACACGTGCATTAATTAATCACGTAACACCTACCTGTAACTCACATAACACACACGTAATGTCACACCTGTATTGAAAGTCTCGCGTCTATTAAAGTTTCCCCAAGAATGTAAACACCTTACG